TACCAGGGCTATCTGCACCAAACAACCGGTATTAAAACCGAAGTACCAGAGCTATCTGCACCAAACAACCGGTATTAAAACCAAAGTACCAGAGCTATCTGCACCAAACAACCGGTATTAAAACCGAAGGAAAATTAAAAAGGGCAAAAACAAAATACAGTAAAAAACTTAAGTAAGATAAAACAAAAGAAATTATCCCTCTCCCTCCATTGTATGAAAACCAACTGCACCAAAATACAGCCACGTGTTGATAGCTTACACGTTCACTAACTGTAATCCAACAAATCGGACAGTTTCATGGCATCAAGCAATCAAACTATTCATAGCAGTAGTGCAGGAAATTCATTCATAGCTCCCAGGCTATAAAACTCAATAAAACGTGTATCAGAGTTTTAGTTGGTGAAAACTACTCCATGCGACAGAATGAGGTGAAACTTCATGTTTCAGTTAGAGCTGTATGAAAAATCTGTAGGGCGTTCGTGACATTACAGGGTGTCCAGAAAGTCTGGAACCACAAGCACTTCAACGAATTTTACAGAATTTATTCCACATGCTGTGCTTGTACATCGAAACAAGTTTGGAGATAGTATTTCCATTCTCTTTGAACACTACGAAGCATATTAGTGTCATTGTAAATGGCCCAATACTCGACCTTCTCATGCTTTGATAACACAGTAATCAGTCACGTACCTGAAATTTAGAAAAGCTGCAAATCATCTATGGTTCCAGACACCATGTAATATTGTTTATCATGGAAGCGGTCAAGGTAGAAAGCCAGTACGCTTTAAAAGTGACGTTAAGTAACTCGGATTAGGCTTTTTACTTGATACATGGCAATACAGTAGAGATCTTACCAATGACACAAGTATTGGTGTGAATGTTATTTAAAATAGTAAGATAAACTCTAAAGTAAAATTGCCTCAAAAGATCTTTAAATGGTCGAAAACCATTATAAAAGAAACATTACTAAACCATAAGTTGAAATGGACTTTTAAACAATGTGATGAACAAAGCTGGAGGAAAGTGCTCTTTGCAGATCCAAGTATTTGGAAACAGTCAATGATAGCTTGTTCAAAGGGCAGAAAAGAAAATGATATCACAATCAGTGTACGTTATCCTCTGCGAAGCACGATTGGACAAATACAAGTCAGCTAACGACGTTGGAAATCTACACAAAACTGTTGGTATGCTGATTGGTATAAAGATTGAATGTCCCACAATAACCTGTTGATTAACTTTTAGTGAGCGTAGGTCAAAGATCATGGTTACACTGAAGGCCAATCACTCTAGTTGTAATAATAAACTGGGATTTTAAAAACGGTCAAAACTAAAGAACAAATTAAGATGGAAAGAGGATACTGGCAACTAGACCCACATTTTTTGAAGGCGAGGAAGAGTTTTACGGTAGTTGCCACACGTTCAAAACATTACGGAGATGATGGATGCACCATCAAAATGCTTTTCTAGTTTTTGTTTTATATTTTCTACATAAATATATTGTATTGATTAAATTGAACATTTAACCGCAATTAAGCACTATGTGTGCGTTTCCATAATTAGTTACGATGCAGTATATGATCTGGTGAAAATTATGGTATGGAAAACTGTTCATTAACTGATTACACAGTAAATAATTCCTATAAATGCCCAATTTCCTTTTTGTGAATGTTAAAGTTTTTTTTTTTCTTCAGATACTTGGAATTCGCCAAGAACGACAGTATAATTCGACGCCATGACTATTTTACTGTGTTAAACTCCATAGCAAAAAATCCAGTTGGAACAAATCTATTGTGGGAATTTTATACAAATGAATGGGAGTATCTCGTAAACAGGTAAGTTCAGTTTCAAAGAATAAGCACGGGTTATTTCGTAAACTTTTATTTTCATGTTCTTAATTATTATATTCCAGTCTGTATTCACATATATGCAATTAACGTTACTCTTCATGTAATGGAGATAAACAATGAACTCTTTAAAGTTACTTAATAATGAAAAACCTAAGTACTATAAAAATGTAAAATCCATTATTTGGTTTCGCATGTCCTGGTTGTTAGGACAATTGACTCGTAAGATGCGAGTCGAGGGTTTGAATCCCGTCACCAAATATGCTCTCCCTTTCAGCTGTAGTGGAGTTATAATAATACGGTCAACCCGACTCTTCGTTGGTAAAAGAGTAGCGGTATTTAATGGTATTCTATAACTTCAAAATTAGGAATGCTAGTGCAGATAATTTTAGAGTAATTTTACGCGAAATTACACACACATACAAAAAAAAATTCGTTATTTAAAGAATTTTGTGATATTTTTAATTAGTCCAAAAAAATTGTAATGAGTCAATGTTGCAAGTCTTCATTTTTGCTTAATTTCAGTTTTTAATACAAAAAATGTTCGGTATTTCATTGAAATGAATTAGCAGAATTTGTGAAACTAAATTACAAACGAAAATGAAATCATTGATAAAGAGTGTTTGAGCCTAATCATTAGAATGACGTTCGGTTATTATATTTTGCTGCTACTTCTAAGGTTTGAAGAAAAATTGCTTTATCAAAAGTTGAGTATATTAAACGCCTTACTATATTATAACCAACGAATTATTCGTTGATAAGAAAATGGCTAAGACATTGTCTCTTTCTGGCCGTTTCTTCGTTATATTTATAACCAGCAGAGTACCTGATGTTGATTGGATGAAAATGGCTTTAAATATCCTGAATTATTATGATTAAATAAACCATAATAATCGTGATTTAAACAAAATGTTTAGAAAACAAAAAGCAAATTGCTAAAGCTATTTTAATCAAACCAAAACCGGGTGCATTGCTCCTGCATGTACTTTGCATGACATTAAGTTTCCAAAACAAAATTCCCCAAATTTTGATGTCCTGATTTTTGCTGTGTGGTCAAGTGTCGTTTGCAGTGTATTCTGTCTTTATTATCGTTCCATTTAATGACAAAAATATTTATTCTCTTTTCGTTGCAACACAACGTAAATGAAAATTTGCCGATACCAAACGTTTTTGTAAAGTCATTGTTTAGCTGAATCTTGAGAGTACACGCAAGCAAAAAAAGATATGGCTGAAGCAAGCCTATCTGGCGAAGGAGTGTGTGAGCAAGTTTGAGAGAAAGCACCAGCGTTTTTCAGTTAAGGGGAGTTAGAGAGTAGGTATGTATGTGTATAAGAAAGAGAGAAGGAAGGAAAGAGCACAAACGAAGGCTCCACGAAATTTTTAAATCGTTTTAACACACAAGTGATCACAGATAGAACGATTAGAAGTTCTCGCACAGAGAAGAAACTTAAATAACACCCTCTTGATCCCAGATTACAAAAAAAAATCCAGCCTTTTCACTTTCAGACTAATTGGTCGTCCTGTTTGCCCAAAATTGTTATATTGGTCACTTTGGCCTCAAAACGGCTTCGTCTACATGGCCCATTCCATTTTACTTCCCGCACAAAGTTGTATTTGTACCTCAAGTTTGGAGTCCGTAGCTAGTAAGATGTGGACGTGCATAAGAAACAGACCCACGGAGAGAGAGACATTCGCGCTTATATAAATAGATTTCATTTTGGCCTAATATTAGTCTACTTTAAGACAATTGATTTTTTTTTATTCCTTTGTTCACACAGAATGTTGTTTATTTATCAAAGCTTAATACTTTCTTGTTTAGCTATTTTCTCTAGACCTACTTCACAGGATGAGACCTTGAGAAATAATTCAAAATAACTTAAAAATATTTACGTGCAAAAGTTTGTCATTCATTCATTCATTATGTTTGTTGTCTCATATCCTTACTTTTGTTATGATACACGGACTTGAGTTTATTCACACAATTCCTAAGTTGTTCACTTACTTGCATATATTTTACTTTGCTTTGAAAATACGGTTATTGCTTCTCTTTTTTTCTACAAGGTTTTTATAGTTATTTGTGGGATTTCTTAAAAGTAAATTAACTTTTTATTGCAGTTATGCAAGCAGAGAATAACACAACATATATACGTTAGTAATATACGTTCGTTTTTGTTCACAGGCTCACATTAAATCAGTTAGGAAGATTGTTGAAGACCATGTCTAGACGTTTCGCTACGGAAGAAAAGTTAAAACAAGTAAGTGTTTATTATTTCTTCAAGTCATTTATGGTTGTTGGAAAATATAATTATATTAGCTAGAAAGGCACTAATAGAGGAAATTCTCACCCCACGATGTTCGATTTTTACATCCATCATAGAATATACAAACTATGCCTCACCCTCAAAAAGGTAAGCTTAGGTGCCAAGATCCTCTATCTCAATTTCTCTTCGAACTTTGACACATTTTGAGAATCCAAAATTTGTTTCCGAAAGTGTTTGACCAGCAGTAAGACTTTCATTTTTCAGCTAAATTTACCAAAAGTTTATAACCTGGCCCTTAGGATTATTCTTCCATCGTTCCAAATTTGATGAAAATCATATAGTTTGAGGTATACAGTTCTCTCTCTCTCTCTCTCACACACACACACACACACACAGAGGAATGAAGACACTAACCTCCTAGAAGTCATAAACCCTTCGAACACATGTTCACTTTAATTTCTTGGGTTCTCATATATTCTGTATTATTGATATTTAAATCACATTGTTTTACTTGAGGGCGTGACTTTGCAACTGAATGAATTCCATGTAGTTGAATATTTCTATCACACCGGATTACTGTTCGGTACTTCTTGTTTTTTTTTCTTAAACAGATGAAAGAGTTTTTCCTCACGTACCCAGAAGCTAGAGCATCAAAGCAAGCCAGAAAAGAAGCGCTAGAAAACGTTAATAATAACGTGAAATGGACAAACCACCATCTTCCGGAAGTTGTTCAATGGTTACAAGAAAACTATGAAGAGCGCACAAACCCCGAAGATTTCAAAGTTATAGAAACTGGAAAAAGTGTTTATTGAAATTCTACTCGAAATGTATTTGTAAATGATGGAAGTGCAATCAGTTATTTTAGAAAGGAATTGAAATATTTTGTAGTTTATTAGTTTGATATGATATTAGGTATTTTGTAAATACATTAATATTCAGAGTTATAATTGTACAATTGCGTTTGAAGTAAGGAAAGCAAACCTAATCTGTAGGTCATTGACGTTGTCGTGTTTATATAAGGTTATTGTAATAAATGTATTTTTTCACTTATGTATGTATTTAAAAATGTTTAAAACAAAGAGGGTGTTATATCTGATAATACAAAATAAACAAAACTTTTTGTATGCTATGTTTTTTTGTGTTCGAATCAAAAGTTAGATTAAACAAAATATTGCACAAATACTTGTGGAACAGAACACAAAACATCAACAACAAGCATATCATAGTTATCTTAAAGCCTGAAAGAAATCAGGATACTGAATTTCTTTCGCATAACAATATACAGTTCAATAGCATGTGAACACCTGACACTGAAATAATGGTTAGATTATGTGCAGCTTCCAATAATTACTTAAAGGATAGTGACGTCGTGGGATGAAGTTCTGTCGACCTTACTGCATCTAAAACGTCAATGAAGTCATCTCATTTACAAGAAGGAACGACAGGCATAAGATATTTTACTAAAATCTTGCACTCGTGATGAAGCATAATCCAGGGATGTCCAAGCTGCTCTCCAGATTCATTGGTGATATGAAGATAAACAGCAAAAAAGTGTACAAAAATATCTCGCACGTTTTACGGAACTTAAAAGATATTTCCGCATCAAACTTTATTGCTGCATATTTCTCACTTAAAAGGAAATTTGATCTTCACAAATTCCAAATTAAAACAAGATGAACCATAGTAACAGAAAAAGATATGCGAGATGATGTTCCTACACTATATTGTCAAAATGTCAAGACCTTTTTGTGAACTTAACCTTCCAAAAACTGATCACTTTTAAGTTGGGTCATAGTCCAAACGTATACACCAACTTTCGTCAAAATCTATTCAGCCATTTTCGAGAAATCTTGCTAACAAACACACACACACACACACACACACACACACAGATGTTTGCTTTCACATTATTACCTCCGCCACTGAAGGTAGGCGAAGGTTATGTTTTCATCCATAAGTCCATATCAATGTTTTTACAAACCATGGAGAATGGAGCTAGTACCGATGACTTACGTACATGATTTGGGGGGAGTCAACGTCTAAATAGTGGAGGATCTGAAAATTTTTTGAAAATAGTTGTCTAATATTGACATTGCTACATTTTGAAAAAGGGTGATAGAGTGAAAATAATGGTTTTGGGCAAAATGACGTAGTCATTGCAATCACACCGAGCACGATTAATGACGGAGAGAAGTATGGAGTATGGATCATCATTCGTATAAAGTGTGACCTCCGTAGGTAATAGCGGAAGTTTGAATTAGTTTTATGCTACAGCAAGCAGACAAGTTAAGATGCTTAATGAGTAGTTTTACACGAGAAAATACAATATCAACTGTCATCTTCTTAATACTATGTGTGTGAGAAAGACAGTGAGGTGGAGGCCAAAATGTTTTGCTGTCATGAATTTTGACGTAACGTGTATTTATTTGTATTTGTACGATACAGTTTTTCTAATTATATGTATTCGAAAAAGGAACACTGATGTAACTTCCTATGTTTTAGTTTAACATTTCCTTATTTCGAATACGTTAAAATTGATTTACTTGTTCGGTCGTTTGGAATTATTTGTACATATTCTACTTCAGCTAATATTAAGAAGTTACTTTTAGTATATTTGATTTAAATTGCCGGGAATGTCAGTTGCTCATTTCTCTTAAGATGTGAAATAAAAGCATCTACAAAGAGGCTAATATGATTTAAAAGGTTGTTTTTTTCGTAATTGACTACATAGCTACACAATGAGCTATCTGTGCTATGACCACCACGGGTATCGAAACCCGGTTCCTAGCGTTGTAAGTCCGCCGATTTACCGCTGCGTCATTTGGGGCAAATTAAAATTAAAAATAAAGTAGAGAAAAAAAGAGTAAAAGAAATTGAAAGAAGTTTGAGATGGAGGAAGAGGCGAAGGGGAATTTAAAATAAAATTGAAGGAAAGATAGCAAGAATGAAACTTAGTATCGGTGGGAGAGAATGCCAGTATTGGAAAAAGACAGTGAAACTGTGGAAGAAGGTACGAGATATCCATGGAAAAAAATGGAGAAAAATCAAGTTATAAAGAATTGAGAAAGGAATTGTATGAAATTTTTTGAATCTTGGGGATTAAGTGTTGAATATAATATTGGTTTGGGACACGAAAGGCGTATAAAGAAGCAATAGGAGCATCGGTGTCGGATTATATAATTGAAAAATTAAAATCAGATTCAGTTATTATGTGGATGAAGGTAGAAGATTGGATAAAATCGGATCACATGTCAATTATAGTGGGGATAGTAGAACTGGAAGATTAAAAAGTTAGAATTAACTCGTAATTAGAGAAAGGGTTAAGACAAAACATTTTGGACATAAATGAAACACGTATCGGATGAATTGGCGATAAATAAATACCAGGAAAAATTGTTGAAGAAAGTTAATATGGATTGAAAAATTGCAGGAAATGAAATTGGTGGTTTGATCGAGAAAATAAAGAAATAAGGAAGCAAGTAAATAAATATCGAAGGACGGGAGAACAAAACGAATGCCAAGAATATGTTAAAAGATTTTGAAGATTGCAGCAATTATATAGAGAAATAGACAGGAAGATTTAAGAATGTCTTGAAGAGGAAGGACAGTGAACAAACATTAAATATGGAAGAAAACATTTTAGACAGTGGAAAATATAATTGAATTTCAATAAATGAAATTTGGAAGAAACTCATGGATGAGAAATTGGATAGTCAAAGGACAGAGGAGGAATTTTAAAACAATTTCAAAGAGTTTGAAGAAAAGAAAGTGCAAGACAAGATGAACTTCATATGAAATTAACTAAAATAAGAGAAGTATTAAAAGTTGAGAAAAAAATGTGGAAAGAAAAATAATGGCAGATATCTACAAAATTACCAATGGAGAAATGAAGCAGAGGCAAAAACTAAGAAACGGGTGGCAAATAAATGTGACAAATAAATAGTTGGAATGACAAGAAGGCTTAACGAATAGTTAGAATAAAAACAAAGGAAAGCAAATAAAGATTTCGGAACGGTTAAGCAACTGAAGTCAAATATATTATTTTTAGCGCCATAATACAAAAATTACAAGACAGAGGACAACCAATTAACTTTTCATACATTTAAAAGCCGTATTTTTATACTGTGAATAGAAAAACGTTATTAAAAAAGGAGAATATAAGAATATTTGGGATGATGTCAGATATGGTGGATATAACGAAACTACATATTTTAATGAGCAAGATTAGAGGATTTTTGGACGGTAAAGAGAAGTAAACAAGGATGCCCGTTAATTTGTACGCTATTCAAAAAATTGAAAGGATTTAGAATATGAATGAAGAAATATTAGGAGAAGTGTGATTGTTAAACAATTTTGTTTGAAAGTTGTGGATGACATTGTAATGGTGGTAGGTTATATCTAAGAAATGAAGAGGAAATACAAAGGACGAGTTTTAAAATTAATAATAGTCACTAAGGAAGACACTAGACTGTGTCGAAACAGTACGGCGTGCGAGTAAGATAGATTGTTGATATATAGAGATTAACCCAGTGTTGAATTTCACTAAATTAAAAGATGGTTGTTTTGGGAAGGGAGAAACAGTAAATAATAGAAAATGAAAAAGTCAGGAAATAGGAGTAGTTGAAAGTATACATTTTAAATATTGACTTCATATTAGGAATATGGCAACAGAACGAATAAAATATATTGAAGTAAAAGCAGAACTCACAGTAACTGCAACGTGAAGTGCATAAAAAGAAGACGAATGTGTAATATAGACTGGTAGTTGCATTTGTTTGAAACTTCTAAATTTATTAACTATGGAGTTGTAATTTAGGGATTTAGAAAAAACAAATACAAGTAAACATTAAGAAATAACATTTGATTTATACAAAAATACACAACCCCATCGCTATATCGGTTCCTTCTGTCAAATAAGTATAATGAAAATATATGTGCATATACTTTGGGTAGATTGAATACGAAGGGAAGATAGTGGCCAGACCATTGATTAAAAGTAATGCAAAATAAAATGTATACGATGAAAGTAACAGAATGGGATAGGCGATGAGAAATGTGAAGAGAATGGAAATCCTAAAATACATATTGGAATGATTGCACAAGGAGGAGGGGACAAATTTAAACAAAATATCGGAAAAATAAAGGTTAAGCAGGAAAAACAAAGTGAAAACGTTAGCGAAACATACAACAAAATTGAGGTAGGATTGAAAAGTATGTACTGCGACTATTATAAAAATATGAAAGAATGGGCAAGACAGAAGGATATAAAATCGAAAGAATGAACAAATTAAATTACAGTGAGAAAAATGTGTTATAACTTACCAAATAGAACAAAAGATAAAGGTAGGAAAAGAGAAAATTAGCTGTTAATTAAAAAACGATAATGCATATGCTGTAGCCCCTCCCCCCAGTGGCACTGCGGTATGTCTGCGGACTTACAACGCTAGAATCTGGGTTTCGATACCCGTGGTGGGCAGAGCACAGATAACCCGTTGTGTAGCTTTGTGATTAATTACGAATAAACATATACTGAAATTTAAGTAAATACAAAAGAAACTTGTAGATGAACGAATTGTTGGAGAATGGCGATATTTAGGAAGATGTATGGATATGAAATATATTGAAAGAAACAAGAAGTAAGTATACAGACAAATCTGTAAGTAATTACAGGAAATGAGCAAGTACCCGCAAAACATTCCCGATCAAATTATCATCTTTATCGCAAAAGTACTTCTTTAAGTACACGATTTGTAGAATACAAACGAACTATCGCAGAAACCGCAATCTTTAAGTCCACTTATCTTAGGAGTAATATTAGTAAAGCCCTTATTCAGCACGGCCTATATTCGATAAATACACAAGTTACAATATTGACTTATCTAGGTTTTATGCTTTAGTTTTGTTAGAGCTAAATTTACAGTACTTAATACTATCAATAAAGTAAACAATCACAATATAATTAAGTGGTTTAAGCTTGGGTAACCCGATGCCACAAATCCTAGCCAATACTTTTTCATGGTACAAAATGAATCTCAAGCCATCAGTTCAGTTTTACATCCACCACTATACTGGTACAGATATGTAGACGATACATTTGCCGGATTCACATCTACAGAACACACAATTTTT